TTTGTGCAAGGTGAAAGATAAGGATCTAGTTTCATTCTTCTACAGGTGGAGATCCAGTTTTGCCAGTACCATTTGTTGAAGATGCTGTCTTTCCTCCATTATGAGTTCTTGGCACCTTTGTCAAATATCAGGTGGCTGAAATTGTGTGTCCTCGGGTTTGGATCTTCAATGATGTTCCATTGATCTATGTGTCTATTTTTGTGCCAGTACCATGCTGTTTTTATGACTATAGCTCTGTAGTATACTTTGAGATCTTGTATAGTAATCCCCCCAACATTGCTCTTTGTGCTCAGGGTTGCTTTGGGTACCTGGGGTCTTTTGTGTTTCCATACGAATTTAAGGATGGATTTTTCTAATTCTGTGAAGTGTGTCATGAGGATTTTGATTGGGATTGCATTGAATCTATATATTGCTTTTCGCAGGATGGCCATGTTCACAATGTTAATTCTTCCAATCCATGAGTATGGGAGGTCCTTCCATCTCCTGGTGTCTTCCTTAATCTCTGTAACAATTTAAAGTTTTCATTGTAGAGACCTTTGGTGTCTTTGGTCAGATTTATTCCAATATGTTTTATTTATTTATTTATTTTTTGCAGCAATTGTGGATTCCTGAGTGTTTTAAGTGCAGTTTTCAGGAAAGAATTTCTCCAGAATCTGTTTTTTTTGGTCTGGAAAAATCTTTTGTAATTTGTTTCGTAACAAACCAACCAACCAACCAACCAACCAACCAACCAGAGAGGTTGGTGCTGGTTGCAGAAATTTCCCAGATGGAGACTTGGCTGTTCCCTCAGTCTCAGGTAAGGTAATTTAAAAACAAACTATCATCAAACCATCATACTTTCAAAAGAGACTTAAAAGAGATATACTGTATGACCTCACAACTTTGATATAAAAATAAAATTGACTTAGTCATAAAAAACCTTCTCTAGGAAAAACTCCATTCCACCACATTGGCACCAGTTCTGTCTTCCTCTCTGTCCCATCATCTTTTACTCCTTTAGTCTTCGTCCTACCCCAGAAGCTCTCCAATATTCCAAGGACACTTTCTTTTTGTAATTACATCACGTTCCTAGGGACTTGACCAGCTCTGGTGTTGGGGGAAAGGAAAGGAAAGGTAGAAAATACTCAGGCAGAAGGGAGACTCCTGCTGGAGCTAAGGTCCAGCAGGGCAGGGGTTGTCTCATTTTCCATTATATTCACAAACCTGAAAACGGCCCAGAAAGCACAGGTACTCAGTAACTATTCACTGAGCAAATACAGGGGATA